TTCTTTTACAGATGACTTCAGTAACGTACTAAAATTCTATAATTAGTGTTTATTTCCTCCAGGACATGGTGGATTTTAGAGAAATTGTAATGCAATGCTCATAATTTCGTCACCCTGTTTTTATTACAGAATATTAATTTAAGCCTATTTTTTCTTCGGTGATTACAGAAAGATTCTAAAAAATTCCTGAAATCGTTGCGCTGAATATATGCCACGAGCTCTTGCAAAGATAAGGATACGGATGGGTTATAGGAAGCTGATCATCTGACACAAATCCTCCTGGGCTTCAAGGATCAGTTGTGGAATAGTTCACTGTGGCTCAAAGCTTTTTAGGGTTTCCTCGAGATGTTTTATAAAATCTGCTAAAAAGATAACGCTCCGACATTACTAGCAAGCAGTCTATAGGAAAATTTATGACAACGAAAGACCTTGAGTCTGGCTTGTGCATTACTCAGTCCGGGAAATGGTTCGGTCTTGCAACGCGAAAAGATTTCCCATAGCATAACTCCAAATGCCCACACGTCTGTTTTTGTTGAGAATTCTCCCTGAAGTTCACATTCTTTTTAAGTTTTAAGTATGTTGAGAAAAGAAGTGTTTTTCAAAGTTTTCAGAGTTCTTTCTTTTGTTTTTGCGTCCCCATTTACTCAAAGTAGCTGTACATACCAGGAAGAGAACAAGAATATGTTTTTTTGCTGCAAGCTGCTGCAGGCCCATGATGCTTCAGTTTTTAAGTGTTTTTGCATATATGCAAATTGCAAAAACGCATGTTGACAACAGTCTGTCTGTGTGTATGTCTGTTTACCCGCATTTTTTTTTTCACTCATTTTCAATTCGAGAACCAAAAAAGCTAAAAGACTGAAGCTTTGGGATTATGTGCTCATTCCATGCGCGACTCTCCCATTTTAATATTATTCTCTGCGCACGCCTCGGTGCCACGTACGGAAACCTTAAATATATATGAAATTTTTGGCGAGAAAGCGACCTCGGAAACCAGACAAAGCTAAAACTTTGTGGGGACATCTCTTGTGCATGTATGAGCTAAAGATTTCAAATTCAGCCCCAGGCGTGCGTCGTGCTACGTAAGGGCGTATGAAAGTTTAGACGGGAAAATTACTAACTCGGAAACCAGGAAAGCTAGGAAG